GATGTGCAGATGACATGATGTAACATAGCAAATCGTTACTTTGTTGTTTAACATTGACAAATAATAAGGATGAAATGATTCATTATGTACTACTATTAATTCTTGCTGGAAAATCTATTTATGCCAGAAGAAAGCATACAATAATATTTCCAGCAATTAATCTTTGAAATTAACAATTAATACGAAGCATTGATGTTATATTTAATTTGTGTATCTTATAACGATTCCGATTGTTTTAAATGTTTTTACTTAAAAAAAATTTTATTATTTGATTATATTCTAAATTATACTTTTATTTATATATCTTATATTAATTTGAAGAACTACATATAAAAAAACGATTACTCGCATTTCCTTGACAAATTAGCTCTGTGTAACAGGTTTACACAATTAATGATGAATCACAGCATTTGTTAATACATGGAGTACCACAATTGCAATTAGCACAAGAGGTGAAAAAACTCATTTATTCCTATGGAAATGTGAAAGCAATTAAGTTGGTAACTGAATATCCTTTAGAAGAATTTACAGAGACGTACCATGTACATTACACACATATTCAGAGTGCGAGGTATATATTTTTGTTTTAAAAAAATGACATTTATTACACAAGAATCTACGAATAAATTACAGAATAAAATCTAATTATTCAAATCATTTCTTGTACAGAATAGCAAAGCGTTTAATTGATAATAAAAATTTCTTCGGCGGATTTCTGCATGTTTGTTATGCTCCTGAATTAGAAACTTTAGATGAGACAAAATCAAAACTTATACAACGCCGTAAGGATGTAGCGACGCAGATAAAAAGAATTCAACAGGAGTTGATGAATCCAGGAGTAGATAAATTTATTCCAAGGTATGTTTAAATATTATTAATTCTCCGTCGGCAATGTTAAATTTTCACTCTTCGTCCGTAGCCTAGGTCTTCGAATTTTAGTACACATTTCTATATTATTACGAATTGTATAAAAATCTGAAAAAATTCTTACATATTTATATAATTAAAACTTTACCGAGTTCTTAATATTATAGAAGTTAAATTGTATTTTACTTATTTGTACAAATTTAAATTTATTTATTAAAATTCACAATAAAAAAATCAACTATTCCTTTTACGTTTAGCATTGCTAATAGAAGGTAAATATATAATGAATGTTACACGAATTGAATGTTATACTTGATAAATAAGATAATTTAAAGATTATCCAGAGAAAGCCAAACATGTTAATAGGTTTTTGCCAAGTATCTACTAAAAATTTTGTTAGTAAAAATATAACAGAATCTTTGTTTTGTAATCATTTAAACAACATATTTCATTTAAATGATTACAAAATGAAAGATCCTGCTGAAAATGTACAGATTTATTGTAATTATCTTAATACTTGCTTAATGCTTATTTAATACAAAGTTAATGTCAGCAATGTTCTGCTCAAGTATAGTATATTTAGTTAACATTTTACTCGCTGGGTATTTCAAGATTGAGAAAAATAATCGTTATTAATAATAGTTATAAGTATTATCGTTATTAATTTTTAAAAGTAACGCATACCATTTCTTGAAAAATGACGATCCGTTAC